CTGCAACAACTAAAAATGATATCACATGTAACTCAGAGAAAATAACAACATAATCAAGATGTTAACATTCCACACTAATTCAAACTAAAGTTTAGGAATGAAACCCCCTGTCAATACGAGAAAAATCAATACTATTTAGTGGACTTGAGAAACCTATTTTCCTGAAAAATTGTTTGAATAGAAATATTTTATAAATTTCAAACAAAAGTAGAATTGACTGCACGGTCAATGAATGCCAAATGTTTTCCTACAAGAAAACAGCTAATATTTCCATGAGAGATGAGAATAAATGCTACACTTTGATCCCAGCCTGATGGCCATGGAGTGAAGAAAAGCATAACTCAAATAGCATTGGCTGCTCAATCAATGAATGCCAAATGTTTCCTTATAAGGAAATGGCTCATATTACTATTATTTTTTCATTTAGGTTGTCATGAATGTACAGAAACTGTATGTTTTTAATTCAGATTTGAAGGTATTCATAAAAATCTACCAAAGCCAATAGAGCTGTAACAATTATTTATTCTGGTTTGCAATTATACCAAGTTTTTGGATACATACTTAAAGATGACATGGAAATTTGAGTATATTGTGAATATATATAGGAAATATAAAGTTTCTTCTTTTGTTGTTTAAGTATTGCTGTGATTTTTTTTTAATCTCTGCTTTGTTATTCAATATTGATTTGCTTGGACTAGTATCCTTATTTTTGTTGTTATTGTCACAAGGTTTCAATCATTGTTCTCACTGGCCCATTTCAGGTATCTGTCAATAGTTGGTAACTTTCTTTGAAGTTTGAACTAAGCCCTTTATTCAATTCACAGGAGTAGATTGTTCTCATTCTACTGTCCATACTAGAGGATATCTTGTATTAATCAATTCAATCTAGTTAATGTGCTCTTGTAATGTTACTTATTTTGTTCCACTTAACTAGATGAGGCACTAGTCCAAGCCAATAATAATTGCTCAATTCAGCAATGTATTGTTTTTACTATAGCTGAAATATATATATATAAGCACACATGGAATGCTCTTGGTAAATAACAGCTAAAATTTATAATAATAATAAATATACAAATGTACAAAATGCATATTTATTATTTGTTTGTGTGTGTGTACACACACACACACACACACACACACACAGTGCAATGAACAATTTGTCATCTAAATTACGCGAAAATGAAAATAACACTGACATCTCATTTTAACAGATATATTTACCAAAATTATACAAAAATATCTTGAAATGCTAAATAGTAAATTTATTCAAAAAAATTGCCATTGGCATCAACCATGACCTCATTTTTAGATGACTTCTGAATCTCCTGCAATTCTTCTGGACAGTTTTCTTGTTTGTGTTGTTGAAACATTTATGAAGGACATACTGTAAAATGAAGCAGCAGAGTAGCTTAGAAGCAAAGAGGCAGGCAGACATTTCTAGACGAGGATGCGGGTATACAATTGTAGCCATGTAACCTGGGCAACGCAGGTAACCTTGGCTAGTGCATGTGTGTATGTATGTATATATATATATAACTAATTAAAGGAGAAAATAATTCACTAAGACGGAAATGTTTAGAAAGTGCCTTAATTGCTTGTTCTTTTACAGTAAATTTGCATCCAGGTTCTTACAACTTTTCACCATTCTTGGTAGATCATCTGTTATCACATTGTGGAATATTTAATAACAAAGATAATGAAAACAAAAAGAATCTCAATGAAATTGGCTAGATTGTAAATCTAAGATACATTATATAAAAAAAAAATTTTTTTTTATTTTTTATTCTTTCTAAATTTAAAATTCCCAGTGTTTCTCATTCATGCGCTTACATAGTTGCATTAAAATAAACAAACCTATTCTGATGTGATTCTAAGGAATTAAACACGTCACATGAAAACTTTTTCCACTTTGTCATAAATCTTTCTTCCAAAACTGTTCTTGGTATATAAAAACTTATATATTGTTATCCCATGCATGTCTACATATATATAGAGAGAATAACACACACACACACATATATATATATATATATATATATATATATATATATATATATATATATGCACACACACACTGTACTTAGCTTAGTCTGACTCATGACCATTAGTGAAAGGCATCCAATGAGAATGAAACTCATTATATAGTAATGGTCTGCTAAAGGACCTCAATGACCTTTACCCACATCACCACCTCCATAGTGAATCTTAACTGAATTGTCTATCTCGACTAGTGCTGAAAGTCCTGCTTTATCATTTTGATCCATATTGTTCTGCAAGTGGTCCATTCACAATTTTTACATCTAAGACATTCTGTGCTACTTTCACAAAGTGTTTGCATTGTGTTTGTTCATATTCCAAATGTTAACCTCTTCAAGTCTAGGGTCAATTATCATCTTTCCTTCTTGTCACTCATAATCTTTTCCTACCATCTCCTCTTTCACTCATATCACACTTTATTCATTATAAGCATTTTAATAGTAAATCGCAACCTTAAGTGTCTCTCGAGCCTTTTATTGGGCGAACACATTGTTTAACACACACACTCATACATATGCTGAATAACTTTGATTCTTCATCTAGAAAAGTAATTTTGTCATTTGCGTTTATCATAAACTTTTCTCTTCCTAATTCTATGAGTTTATAGATACCTAGATGGGTGACCACTTGGTAATACCATGTGTTGTAACTGTGGATGTGCAGGTGGTGCAATGGATAATGGCTCAAAGTTGGAAACCAGAGAGTAAAGTCTCAATACCAGTTGTTTGTTATATTAACTTAACTGCAAATACCCTTGGGAAAGATTGGAATTTACTTCTTCTCCCCACAGCTATGGGTTAATTAGTTTATCTTGTATCAGTAAATCATTATCATCTCAAAAAAAAAAATTTTTTTAAACCTTGAAATATTTTCTGACTTTAAATAACCTGTAAAAGGTTGATACGCCATACAAAATTACAGAACAATCAAGCCTAATTGTATGAATTATAAATTAAAATTTATCATCAGTTATAATTTAATGTAAAAATTCCTTTGTGAATTTGGCCTTTTTGTAATCTGATAGAAGAAACTTCTGTTATAACACAGTGGCAGCCTAACAAGTTTTTTTTAGAACTACAAGGCTATGCTTTTATGATAATAGATTTAAATGTAAAAGGACACTTTGATTTGAACTTTGTTTCCTATTTAAGGAAATGAAAACAAACATTTCTTTCTTGTAAACTGTTATTTTTCATAATGCCTGATCAAATTGGGAACTATTCTTAACACTTTCATCCTTTCTTATTTTTACAGCCATTTTCTAAATGGTTCTTTCTCTTAGATTTGATTAAACTGGTCATGTGTTTTACTTTAAGAAGAGTTCTTGTTATCATTGTCTTTATTAGTTGCATACTTTTACAATAATGAAAAAGGAATGATTTTTAACGCCAGTACATTTGTACCAATTTTGGTTTTCTTTCTTAGCTTTATTTATTTATTGCTGTTATTATATGTGATATGCAAAGAAAAGCTGTTATATATTAAATATCTTTATATCTTTTGGAACAACATTGTGCTTCTGCCAAGATGGAGAACTGAAGCCTTGATAATTTCCCAGCATTTTTCTTTTTCTCTCTCTTTTTTCACATCCAGTGAAATTATTTGGAATATCATGAAGTTCCAAAATGGCATTCTTTGATTCTATAATGTTACCTGTTTCTCCATTATTTCTGTTAAATCTTGTAAATAAAATTAAAATTGTTTTCAAATAATATGTCATTTTATTAAATAGAATGACAAATTTGAGAAAGCATTATTTGTGTTCATTTCTCCATTTCTTTTGTTCTTTCTTTATTTCTGTTAAATGTTGTTTGTTCATCTAAAAATTTGTTAGATGTCGGTATTAACTTAAAAATTGTTTTTATAGATTTATTGTGGATTTTTCATCACATATGTCAGCTGTATTTATTAAATAGAGAATAGATTAAATAAGTCTAATTTTGAGAAGCATTATTTGTGTTCTATGAGGCAATGCTAGAACTTTAACAGAGTTTGACTGACAAGTTTTATTTGCTCTGTTTTTTTGTGATGGTGAACGCTGGGGTAGATCTGGACTTTATCTCCTGCAATAAAGTTCTCCACTGCCTTAACCAGGAATTGAACTCACCTTTGTCTTCATCTAACAAAATTTAATGCCATAAATTAATTTTAGATTATAAACCTAATGTTTTTTCAGCATCATTTTTACTTTATTGCAATTTTTTTTTTTTTTTTTTTTCATTGCATTTTTACCAGAGTTATTGTTTTTATCATCTTTGACTTATTACTAGTTCCCATATTGTATTTATTTCTATGCTTGTTTTTTGTCAGCATATGTGCTGATTCCTAAGTACCACCTGAAGAAGGCGGGTCATCTTCAGATGTCCAAATATTTAAAAGATGAGGACAATAGTCCCATAATGTAAATATCTGATATTTCTCAGAAATTGATAATTGTTATTTTTAACCCTGTTCTGCCATTCCATATTTGTTAGCACTGAACCATGGTATATAGATTTCACTACTGATGTAGGTTTTGAACTCAGAGTTATTAGGTAACAACAACATCTATATCCACTACACCACCATCTTGTTGAGAAACGAATATTCAAAACCATTTGATATTGGATTTAAAAGGCTCCAGAAATGTACTAGTCCTTCAGGATGGTGGCATTATGAATAAAAGTGTTGGTTAATCAACAATTGCTGCTGCCTGTCATGAATTCAAATTAGTTTTTTTTTGTTAAAGAAATACCTAAGAAAGATCAATCTTTTTGGTGACATCATGTGAAAATTGCTTGTCATCTGACAGTCTTTCAAAAAACGTTCTTTTTTTTTTTTTATTTAATTTTTCAACAAATATTACAATTCATTCTTCTGTTAGCATATTGCTGTTTTTTCTTCTTTTTTTTTAAAAAAAGCTTCTGTTTATGAATTTATTTGTGCCGTTTATTATATGCTAACAAAATTTTCCTTTTCAGAGTCTAGCATTGAGTACAGCCACTCTGATGTTCATGTTGATGCGAGATCGACTGAGCTATGATATAGGTCAGGATACATTGAGTCTAATTGTGCAGCTTTTGGAAGAGGATACACAATCACAGTCCAGTTATGAGGCCAAGGAATATGACCGTATGATACAGAAAGTACAGGAGTTATATAGAGAGTGTCATAAGATTGGCATGGCCAAACAGATTGATCTCGATTCTATATCGGTGAGTTTGGCTTCTTTCTTTTCTTTTTTTTTTTTTCCTCCTTTCTTTTTAATTTTGAGTTGTAGTTGCAACTTCATTTGAATGAAAACAGTTAACAAAAATGTATGATTCTCTCTTGTTCAGTCATCTTTTATTCTACAAGAAATTTTTGTTTTCTTTTTACCTCTTTTGTATAAAAACTACACTTGGTCTATTGAGGTGAGAAAGCCTTACTCAGTTTTATAATTAGTGAAAAGAAATTGCTTTAAATACATTTTTATTATCAGAAATGATGAATGTTTTTACAGAATCATATGTGCACAGAAACAAAGACAAACTATATGACAAATTTGATGGCATATAAGACCCAGAGGCATACCCCCCCCCCATTTCTGCAGGGAATATTAACCCATTAACTGTGGCAGGAGCGGCTTAGTTGCCATTTTCTAAATACAACAGGGATTTTAATATATTAGAAATTTTCCTTCATTTGCAGTTGAACCATAAGTACTGCATAGGATGAAAGTCTTGACATACTCTCTTAATAGGTCAAGAAAAGAAAACATTGTTTGGGTACCTTAATGTCACTGAGTTTTTATCCATGTTTCCTGTTGCACCCCCCCTTTTTAGTGTATGTGTATTTTATTTATAATTATATAAGTGGGACTTCAAATGCCATCAAATGCATATCTACTTTAATACTAACTGATTATGTAGTTAGTATTTTATGGGTGGGATATGCCAGTTGCCAGTATTATAATGGATATCAGTATAGAAAATGCAATTGTTGGACTTCAGTTCAAATTCTGGGGTAGTTTTTTTGCATTCACTTTTGCACAAATACCCTTGGGAAGGATTTATTACAAAATACACACACTTATATATAGGCAGCATATTTTCATTCAAGTATGTTTCATTAAATAATATAAACATATTATGTCTATTTTTATAATAATCCTTGATGAATTTCCACTTAACATCAAGAAGCTAATTAGAGAACTAGAAAGGATTATTATAAAAATAGACAGACATAATGTCTGTATTATTCAATGAGGCAGAAGCAAATGGAGATATAACAATAATTATGTAACAATCTTAATGTTATTTACTTATTCACTTATTTGAATTTAGTATATATATATATATATATATATATATATATGAAAAGATTTTGGCATTTCTGGTCACTGGCTTCACCTCTGCTTTTCTTTGGTCAGTTTTTGTACAATTGACATAAATATTTCTGGTGGTAAATATAAAAAAAAAAATTAAATTAAAATGGATGTTTAATCAGAAAATTTTTTTTTTTTTTTTTTTTTTTTTTTTTAGTATTCACTCTGTATAATTCTGTATCAAAATAGAGGGAAATTGGATTACCAGTGGTCAGCAATTAATAAAAGGCCATTATATGTATAATGTAAATACATTACTAATAATTTTACTATAGAAATGCACTGAAAATCAGAAAGAAATGTAAAATATTGTCAGGAATTATTGTAAGCATTAATTATAGAATAATCCTTACATAACTTTGTATTTGATTATTTTTTTTTAAAAAAATACTTTTGATTAATCATTATTTTTGTTAATTCTGAATAAGAAGTTATGGCAAAATGTGTAAAATCTTTGAAGATCCAAATTATTACAACTAGATATCAATTTCTTTTTGTTTCAAATTCATTTAAAGATTAATCTGATTACTCTTGCTAACCATCTCTTTGAACCATCTTCCAAAAAAATAATCTGTGTATCAATTTAAGTAGTAAATGTATTGAACATACTAACATTGGATGAAATGCTGATGACCATTTTAATGATTGAGAAGTCATTTTTAGTTTCTTCTCGTTTTATTCGCTATCGTCATCATGCTTATCATTTTGTTCTTATTTCAATGTTCCTTATATTGATTATTACCTTTCAGACGGGTAACTTGGCAATGGAGTCATTATTGACTATCACTGCATCTCGTAATGCATCAGATGTCTTCAAGAATGAGTTGCGATCACTTGGTGCCCTTGACCATATTGTTAATACAGGTGAGTGTCTATTTTTGCAGCTTCTACTGTCCAGTATCTATTATCTACCTGACACTTATCAAGGTTAAATCTCCTTACCTGAACTAAATTATTCTTTTCTGCTCACTCACCTTTGTTTCTTTTAAACTTTCTATCTGATTCTGGGGTTGGGGGGGGGGCTTAATTATTGCCTGTTTACTTAGTAAGCTAAGAATTACTTGTATTTTTTTTTTTTTTTTTTTTTTCCATTGCTTAAATGTTTGGTTGAAGGGAAACACTCTTCTTTCCTTGTCGATTCTGCCATTTTTTCTCCTTACATTAATTAATAATTCCATGTTTAGAAAATGATTTCCTATTTTTTTAGCCAGTCTACAGGGTTTAAATTAAAATATACTTTTATGAACTAAGCATTTTGAGGTTTATACACAACTACTTCATTCTTTGCTTTTTTTTTTTTTGCTTTTTTTTTTTTTTTTTTAAATGTTAATCTTTATGTTAACACTGTAGTATGTAACTACCTTTCTATGTAAGGCGTTGTTCATGCTCCAAAAATAAAAAAATAAAAAATTAAATAAAGCTTCGCCCACTTTATAAAAGATCAATAGTGTAAAGGAGCAAGCCAGTCTGTATCTTTTTGTAAGCTATTGAGCTTACATTCTCTTACATTATTACTCTCTAATTTTCCCATACCTTCATACTTTCTCTCCCTTATTTTTCCCCTATTCTGTTTTGTGGAAATTATATATATATATATATATATTGTGTGTGTGTGTGTGACAATTTTGGAAGTCAGAAGTTACATTGATTCAGGAAGGATACCTTGATTCTATGTAAAATAAAATGACCTCTTATGCTAATAATAAATGAAAAAGGATTTACAAATGAATGAGAGGAACAATAAAAACAACAAGTTGTTAATTTAGTTGGAACTATCTTATTTTTGCATGAAATTTCAAGTCACTAAGTTTATTCTAAATATCTCTGTATAAAGACTTCATTTCTTTTCTTCCCTAATCAAATCTTTTTTATAACACCTATGTAAGTGTAAATGTTCTCTTTATTAGTTGGTTTTGGTTAATTTTGCATTGTAATAATCTTTGTAAGGTATATTTAGAGCTTTAACACTTAACTATTAAATAGTTGTATGTCTACAAGATGACATAAGCAAGTGGCTATTATAAAATCAGTCCAACATCTAGAAAAGAGGTGAAAGTCTAGGCTTATTATCTCATCCCCACAAAAACAAATCAGCTAAATAAATAACCTTTAATAAGGAGCTTGACATATTTATTATGTACATAATAATAATGCTGAAAGGTCATTTTCCCCCCCTTTTCCTTTGGTTCACTTGAAGAAGGCAATGACATTGTTTATTTTATTTAATCTGCTGTGCCAACCTGATTGCTTTTTTGTTTTTGTAAAAATTGTTTGATAGAAGTGATAGCCAATTGTAAAGTTTTTTCATATGTGATTTACTTGAAGCCATGCAGTTCATTTTTTTTATTTTTGGTTGATGCTTTCCAAAGAATTCAATTTCTTCCCAGCAAATCCCTTTCATCAATTGGAAATGATGGAACGTATAATTACGATGACTTGATAAGTTCAATTGTTGTTGGAAACAACAATGTTCTTTTCAGATAAGAGCTACATTTCATTTGTCAAACAAAAACAATAACAGCCTCAAAGAAATTTTGTTTTATTTTCCAAATATATTAGTGAACCCACTCATATATTTACACATATTCTCTCTGATATTGAGCACCTTTACCTATAAATACACACACAGACACACTATAAAATTTTAAGCAGATAGTAGATATTCTGATAAAATTTATGAAGTCTTCAGTCACCAGTGCACCATCTGTGCCTGAGGTTTAGAAACTGATGCTTGCTGTTGTAAGGTTCAGTGTGTTGGAAGTCCATTGCAAGAAAGTGACATACCATGGAAGCATACATGTTTCTTTTTTGTCAGAGCCATTTGTGAGTGGGGTCAGATTGCTTGCCTTCTTTAAAGGTGGTTGGTCATTTGGCAGAATTGATACATCAGTGGTCAAAAAAAAAATTGCTACACTTGTAAACCAGGTTCTGGACCGCCATTTAATACAGACACTTCCAAAGATCAATACTACAATAGGGCAGCAGTAGCAGATCATATGATGTGTTTGCAGTGCATATCAAAATAATTATGTCAATGTCGTCTGCTGCTGGGAATCTTCCAGACTTTCAGTTATGATACAACAACATTTTGCATGTCTTCAGTGGTGTCATGAGAGGGTCACATGGCATAATAAAATGACACTCTGTAGTGTCCAGCAATGAAAACAGGTTCTACCTTTATTCAACTTTTGGTCATTTGCAATGTTGTCCTGGGGAGAGACATCTTCCAGAGTCTATTTACCCTTAACAGACAGGCCCAACACCTGACTTCATAGTGTGGGGTGCCCTAAGTGACAACACTTGTTCACTTTTGTTGTTTGTGTAGGGAACATTTTGATGTTCTGAAGTGACACTGTGTAAATAACTTACTTGGGTTCCTCTTAGGGAACACCACAGATCAACTCTTCTTAGGTCAGGGTCCCTGATAGACATTAAATTCAATTCAAACCTATGGTATTTCCTGAGGATTATTTTTATGTTGTAAAGCATTTGCAGTATATACAATGTATTTTTGTGTTTTCTTTATAATATCCGAACCTTTTTATGTTAGTGAATTGATATTAAATATCTCTGCTATAAGACAATGCAACTATTTGTATATTTATTGGTCACACATACTTATCTTTCTTATTAGAGATAATAAGATATTCCACTATTATGGTAGCAGGAGACATTACTTGGTGACAATAAGTGAACATGCCTTATGTTAACAATATAACAATGAAATATATCGTTTATAAGTAAGGGAGATCAGGTTTCTAAGTGCATTGATTTTTTAATTTTTCTGTTAGCTTTCCTTGGATAGGGTTACTTTTAGTGGGTTTTTTTATTGATACACTTAATCTTAGATTAGTCCTGCAGAAAATATAGACACTTTAAAAATTACTCAATATTGCTGCCATTTTATTTATTTATGGTTACATTTAAATTAGTTGTATTAATAAATGCCCAATTATGAAAAAGAAAGAATATGTGTAAGTGCTCAACAAAAAATATAAGCAAATCATTTAACAGAAGAACAAACAACATTGCATTAAAAATTTTAGAAAATAATTGTTATAAGCTTATTCTGTAAACTTTAAGATATGTACTTGTGAAATTCTATATCTGCTAATTTAAATGTGGGAAGATCACACATAAATGAAAAATATATGCAAGGCAAGTCCTCTCAGCACAATGTTTCACATACTAGTTTTTACTAATATAGTCTGGACTGGAGTTCATCTTCTATGCTCCACTACCCTTGTATATACAGAAAATTCATATCTAAAATATGAATATCTATTTGTATGATGAACAAACCTCTGTGAGTGTCTTGCCGTGGAGCAGTGGTTAGCAAATTAGTCTCACAGGCTGTTACTACCGTAGGTGTAATTCTGTCCCAGCTTTGTGTCAGATTATGCTTAATAAATGCTGATACACGATCTCCATGAGATTTAAGGTTTAATCTGAAGATCTCTGCCTTTGAATAACTTGTGTTTAAATTGATTCTCACAATTAACCCTTCTCATAAAAATTAGATTCGGCTATCTACATTTTGCTCTCCTTCTAGAGGGAGTAAAATTCCATAGAGTTGTAACAGATTATATCCAGTGTCCATCTCCCCTCCAACTCTATGCCCATTTAAGAAAAGTTTTCTCTCTTTTCTATTTTAGTAATGTTATTTCATATTTATTGTGAACATCTATTGTTACTGTGATAGGGTAATTGAACCACTACCAGTACTTAGAACAAGAGGTTTTACTTCTGTGCAACACTATAGTGAAATTGTAAGCTCTCTCTCTATCCTATCACATTTTTTGTTGTTTGTTTTGTACAGACTCTCTGCCTTGATAATCTGCAGGCTCATCTAGATTCATATCCGAATGTCTCATGCAATGTAGTTCCTAGCAGCTTGTTCATATCTATTATGGTTTTCATTAACTTTCATTATCTAACAGTTTTGTCTGCGATTAACCTGACTAAAGATATTGCCAGCTTTGAATCAAAACTGGTTATGGTAAAAGATAACTAGACAGCTTATTCTTTTTCCATTGATGTTAACCAAAATGGTAATGATGTAAACATGTTAACAGAATAATCTTTTTGTAAACAGTATTTAAGTTTCTGATCACATCATCCAGTCAGAAGTTACGTGATGTTATTTTTATAAATAATATCAGTGACAGTACTTGAATCTATCTTTTCATCTGCCTAATATTGAGATATTGTGCTGTTTCTGTGTTAATTCTGATAGTAGACTTTCTCAGCTTAGCGTCAGGTTTAGAACTACTCTTCAATTAACTCTATAGCTTTTTAGATTTGGCACAGTTGTTTACAAGTTTGTCATTCAGCTATTTTCCATAAGGCTTGTCTGGAAATTCTCCAGTCCTTTTGAATTGTCATTCAGCTATTTTCCATAAGGCTTGTCTGGAAATTTTCCAGTCCTTTTGAATTGTCATTCAGCTATTTTCCATAAGGCTTGTCTGGAAATTCTCCAGTCCTTTTGAATTGTCATTCAGCTATTTTCCATAAGGCTTGTCTGGAAATTCTCCAGTCCTTTTGAATACCTCAAGAGCTGGTTGTGCATCTATGGTGTAACTAATCAGAGAGGATCTTACTGCCCATGCATGATCAGACATTCTCTCGTTACTCAGTCAGCAATGAGATGACATTGAGTAAGCATGTTTGACAGTTGTGCACACAATAAATGTGTACAAATTCTTAAGAAAACTTTCAAGAATATTTCAGTGCATGAAGTTCAGGCAAAAACTTTGGTACTCATATTTCAAACTTGGCCAAGAATCTGTTGAAATCTGACTTCACAAGACGCCGTGTCTTGCCAACTGGTAATTGCTGGCTTTCCTGTTGCTTTTATTAGCATGAGGCATCTTACAAAAAACTGGATTATGACCACTTGCAGAGAGGCCTGTATCTAGACATGCCAAGCTATCATGCTGCTAACAGGGAAAACCTGCATGTAACTGGTGTTGACAAACATGTCCACACACGATCCAGGGCTTCTTTTGCTTCTGTAATGACACATGTTCGCCACACCTTCCAGCAAGCAGAATACTCAAAAATGTTGAATGCAAAAGAAATGTTGAACCAAAAGAAATAAATGATAATTATAAAAAAATCTGGGGATCCCATGAATTGTCCTCAAGGTATTCATCAATTTGAATATCTAAACTGTCACATTTTGTGTGTGATTATTTTAGCATCATGTTGCAACATCTCCATTATTCAGCACACTCTTCAATCCAAATTTGGTCCCTTGCAACTTTTGGGTGTTTTTTAAAACCTAATATCATTTTTGAAATTGAAAGAGATTTCAGATCATAGTTGAGATTAAGGAGAATAAGACAAGGTAGCTCAGGACAGTCCTAAAAGCAGACTTTGGAGGCTGTTATGAAAAGTGAAAGGGAAGTTATGATAAATATGTGAGATCTGAAAGTGAATAAAGTACAAGTTACTGAGGTGGGCTACAGTTTTGTTAAGATTAACACTTCTGCTCATATGTATATACTTGTGTCTTTATGGAACATACATTGTCTGCTGTTGATGTATTTTCAAAACACTGTTTATGTTAGTACTAAATGCTAGTTAGTTTCTATTTCCAAAACCAGCATAGATATGTAGTAGTTTACAATACAGCCTGTTTAGTGGCATATTTTTATTATATTGTATGTTTAGTGTGTAGTTTAGCTTGGACTGTACTGTAGATTATTCAGTTGAAACCCAAGTGGCAGCACCTATGAGAAATCATCATAGTCATTTATTTCCTGTAAATAATAACTTCCTATTTTCCCCAAAATGAGGCTGCACAGACAATCAACAATGTAACAGTGTAAGTGTTAAATGGTCAGATTTCTAGATAGACTTTCTGTTTAAAAAAAATCAAGTTACTACTTGAAAGGGTTTTTCCTAAATGTATGTACATTGGCTTCACTCTACCAGAAAAGAAGTTTCTGAAACATTTGGCTTCAAATAAATTGTCAATGTATATTTCAGACTGGATGTTGTAATATTCTCAGTAATAAATCTAATTGATGAATCCTACAATTTGAATCATTTAATATCAGACCTAATGATATGAAAACAGGTTATATATGAATGTAAATGTAACTCATTCAACAAAATGTTATCTTCCTTTCCTTTTTTAATTGTTTTTCTTCTATTTTTTCCCCCATTCAGTGTGTTCTTGTGTGAAGTCCTTAGAAAGATATGCACTGTCTATGTCCCACAATCACAGAAGGAAGCTAGAAAAAGTGGACAGATGTCTCCGGGTCCTGGAAAATGTAAGTATCATCCATTTTTACATCATTAGCACTCATGCTTTGACTCCGAGGGAAAGGAATGTCACTGTACATGATTGATATTTCCTTTAATTTCAAGTCTCATCATTGCTTGCTATTTAAATGTTTATATCTGAAGCCCAAAGCTTTAAAAAAAAAAATGCACAATTTGGCAGCCTGTCTTTATGCTACATGTTTTTGTGTCTAATTTGAATAGTTTATATCTCTAATGTTTTCTTATTTACCAAAGAAATTGCTTTCAGTCCTGTGACCAACAATTGAAAAAAAGAGATCAGATTTAAAACCTCACTAACAACCTCTCTTTTCATGTTCTTCATTCTCTTGTCTCTTGATAGGTACTAAGTTTGTAGGGCACACAGTGTGGATTGAATTCACTATAGTATGATTAATGGTCTGCAAGACTGTCTTCCTGAAGACTACTCCATTTTTTGGTGTAGTCTTAATTTTGCAAGTTTTTTTTTTTATAGACAATTTGAAATATTGTAGCCATCTTTTTTCCTGTGTTATACTATTTACAAGGTTGTAAAATGTCTATTCTGCTATTAATAACTTTATCAGCATCCCCCCTGATTATTTAAACAAAAAATAAAAATAGGAATTACTGTTTCATAAAATCTGATAGCATATAAGATCCCACCACTTTTTTCATTGAAAAATATCTCCTGTGTCTTATTTGTAAAATTGAAGTATCTGATTGGCTAATTCTTACACAGACATCAAATAGACTACCAATAATTGTACTTTGCTGCCTGACTCCATAAATCTGTAATATTAAATGTAAATGGGTTTTAAATGCTGTCAGGTATGGTCATTTCTATGAAACAACTTCAAACAATTTTCTTATTTTGCTTAGGAACAAAATCTTTCAAATGTTAACAGAAGAAAGTACGTTTAGTACTTATAAACTTTGTATTTAGAGGATACACATGTTTGAGTAAATGTCCCAGTTTTTTAAACAGTGTTATCCAATGTCTACTGATGTTTATAATAAGAAGAAATAATGTCAGATTGTAATAAAATCCATTAATTCCTAAGTATATTTAGAAAACAAATATGAATGCTGTTGTTTTTAACAGATATAAAAAGTAACAATTAATGACACCTTTTGTAGTACCATTACTATTCTATTAGTGTAATGCATTCAATCCTTCTTTAGTGCCACCCTCCTCCTGGTAACCCAGTTTCACTTATAATAACTTAGCCATTTAAGTCAGCTGCATCAAATAATACAATAGAGGCAAAACAGCAATACTTTAGTTTAATGTAGAGTTTAAAGATATTCTGAGCTATATATAATTGCATAATTTTTGACAGGTATTATACTAGTTGTTATATAGAATGGGACCATTGTTATATAAATAGCAGACATTTATTTTCTGTTTTAGCATTAAATCAAAATTATCATTAGACTCTCTTTAAAATCCCCCCACACATACACACATATATATGTGTGTGTGTGTGTGTGTGTGAGAGAGAGAGATAGCTTTTCTTTTAATTGTTAGTAAATATGATAGCTTGTAACGAAGCACAAAATGAATATTTATAATGTCTTACTAATGAGTAGAGTAAATATTAAATGATGGTCTATAAATTAAGTAATGATTCATCTGCATCTAAAGATGATATTCTGTTATTGGTTAAATGATTCTCTTTAATGAAGTTATTTCCTTGTTTCTTCTTTCTCATTCATTTAATCTGTATTCTGATTCAATTTTGATAATAAAAAGAAATGTTCGTAATTGACATATTTCTTAGCATAATGTTCACTTCATCTTCAGATATTGATTTGTTTTAAATCTCATTATCATCGTCCAGAAGTTAGAAGATATTCTGTTCTTAACTGGAATCCTTATGATAATTTGATAAGAAATTGCTGGGTTTGGTGGAAGTTTGTGATGGCCATTGTAAATACTCAGCCTTCTTGTTAAGTATTTACAAAGTGAGATTTCTCATTTTTATAGTGATATGGTCGATATCTCATTTTAACTGATATATTTACCAAAATTACACAAAAAATATCTTTAAATATTAAATAGTAAATTTATTCAATAAAAATATAAAATCACCGTTGGATACAACAATGCCATCAATTCACCCACCACCACCACCACCACCACCTGGGCGACTTTGGGATTTCCTACACCTCTTCTGGGTTGCTTCCCTGTTTAAGTTGGTGAATGTTGCCATAATCCTTGCCTTCAGTTCAACTTCGGTGTTACAAGAAGTTTTGTTACTCTCTCACTCAACTGCACCCCACACATAATCAAGAGGGTTGCAGTCTTGGGAGTTAGGTGGCCAGATGTAACGGATGATTTGCTTGCAGAAATTTTGTAGCAGCCTTGTGTGGCATGGTGCAGAGACCTGTTGCCAAACATAGAGAGTCTTCTAGCAGCCACCCTCTTGACCACGGACAAGCACTACTTCAAGACACTTGATGTAGACCTCCATGTTGTGTTCTTTTCTTATCAGAATGATCAGTGACTTTTCCCAGCTGCTATACTTTCATAATCACTGTTAGACTCATCCAAATCCTCTGCACTGTCCTCATATTGACATCCAAACACTCTGAAATGTTCATATTGGAACTTCTGGTGCGAATGCCAAGCAGTACAGCATGCTGTTTCCAAATTTTTGGCAGAGTGAATTGCATCATGTTGTTCTTTTTCGCATAGATACCCTACTATATTGTACAGTCGACAAAATCAAAAACTAAATATAAAATGGCGACAATTTACCCATCACACCTTGTAGTACTGTTTTGTGAATGTGCGAGACATTGAAAAGTTATCAACTTGACCCACTTTACAATATCTGGGGAAATGACCAAATATCAGGAATTTTTTTTAGGGGGAAGGGCTTCTTAGTCAGGCCCAAAAATTTGAAATAGTTCATCATAATGATAAACTATTACTGTAGGTTTTAACTAAAGCAAGTGTTTTTTACCTGAAGTGGCTTTTATATGAAAATTAATTTTCCTGAGAAGGTTTGCTTTGTTTAGTTTGAATGTGGCATTCACTTTCAAAAAAAATTCATTTTAGGGAATAATTAAGTTGACTGTTACCATTGAATGTAAAACTGGAACCTGATTTTGTGGCCATTTATTCAAATATGGCTGCAAAAATGTATCTTATTTCCATGCCAATGTTATAAGAAAAAGAAAAAAGTTTTCTTAAATATTGATTCTATTCTGCTTGGATTTTGTTCCCTTTTTTATTTTTGTTTTTAGTGTTTTTTATATCTGTCTTTATTTCTATTGGATTTTGTCCATCTTTTGCAGCCATATTCAGGTCCAGTTTTATATTCAATTTACATGTTAAAATGAACACTGGTAATCCTAAATCCAGATATAAAGTCAATCAAGTTTGGCATGCAACATACACTTTAGAGCAATCCCTTTTAATCTACTTTAAGAATTAATTTGCAAGATTCATTTGTTAGATTTAATAAGAGGAAAATGTGGTCACTTGAATCCCCTTCGCTCTTTTGTCCTCTCTTCAATCACTTTCACTCTCTAAATTAATCTGCAGGGAGTTATAGAGAGTGAAAGTGATTGAAGAGAGGACAAAAGAGCGAAGGGGTTCAAGAAGAAAAAAGATGGCAATTGACTATTTTGAAAATTGTAGTTGTCAGGGAAGCAAGTAAATGAGAGGGAATTCCACAGGTGGGAAGTGCAAGAAGAGAAACTGTTTGAGTAGAAGTGTTTTTGCATTTAACTGTATCAATAGTAGAAGGGTGGGACCTAGATGCCAATCTAGTAGCACACTTAAATTTGTGTAGTCAGGGCACCAGGGAAAAAATCTCATCAGAGCAGTTGACATGAAAATATTTGTAGAAAAGCCACTCCACATCGTTAAGAAAATGACTGAAGTCAAGATGTTTGGTCAGGATCAATTACATTATAGATCCTTCTTTAAATATTGTCAAAAATTTCTAGATGTATGGCAGGAGCACAGACCAGATATGGCAACAATATTCAATGCAGAGACGAATGGTAGATTTGTAAATGTACAAGATGGATTCTGACTAGAAAAATTTTTCTGGCATGACACAGTGACCCAACTTTCTTTCCAATAGATGCAGCTATTGATCTGATGTAGTCACTCTACTTCAAGTATAAAGTCAGCATTTTGTTGATATCTAGAATAATCAAAAAGAACAATGGAAATAAAATTTGTCATTTTGCAATGAGTCTTTAACATTCTCAGAGCTGTTCAGAGCCATTGAATTCATTGTTGCTTTTGTCTCAGCTAATCCATTTCCTAAACTTCAGGTGTACAATCTTGAGAGATTGGTGGGGGTATCTCTTTTTTTACTTGGTTGAAAACATTGCAGTGGCAAAAAAAAAAAAAAAAGATGCCCCCAAAAAGGGTAACAATTTGGTTAAGCTAAAATGAATATTTAGCTATGAAAATATTTTTCTGTTAATTATGTAGCTTGTTCTACTCTTTATAAAAAAAAAAATGACCTTTATTTCTTTGGGGCTAGGTTTGTTTTCAAAAAAATAAAAGTTTTCAAGAAGAAGTGGGTGAAGTGACTATAAAGTGGAGGTTCAATTTACAGTGTATATAATCGTAAACAGAGCCCTGCCTCTGTTTGACATTAGGGCATCAAATTTACAATGTAAATATATTGTTATACTGGACCCCGAATTTATGTTTATATATATTTTAAAATAGGAATGCCTAAAAAGAAAATAAACAATAACCTGAAATTAATGTTTTCATAACACTTCACATTGAATTCTTAATGGCAGAAAAAATAAATGCTAATTTATCTTTTGAATTTTTTTTAGGTTTATATACTTTAAAATTATAGACTAAAAGAAAAGATTTGCTATTTATAGAAAAACAAACACAAAGGGTTCAGTTTAGTATTCTATTTACATTGTAAATCAATCCTTCTCTAAACGCTTTAAAAAGTTAATTTCCCCCATAAAATTAAAGTTCTGTTTAAAATAGATGAGAAAAATATACACTCTTAAT